GCCATTCTCAAGCGAAATTTTGCTATATATATATATATATATATATATATATATATTCATGTGTACACACAACCACGCACACGCACAGTCGCACACACATGCACATACACACACGCACGCACACGCACACACACGCACACACGCACACGCCCCCCACACACACACAGTCGATAGATCGGTAATCAGCAACAAATGCATTGCGATTGTGTCTTTATCGATACACCACATCTTCGTGCAGGGCTTCTTCTTCAATCGGAGACAGCGCACGACTGCGGCTAGACGACCGTGAGAGGAGACTAGACGAAGAAGAAGACTTCGGCGACGTCAGGAGAGGACGACGACCTTTCCAGGGGGAGATTACGTCTATCAGACCGACGTCGTTCTATGGCAGGTACGTAGAACTGCATTATTCATCATGCTACACTCCATCGTCCCGGAGCGTCGGAAAATATACTGATACGTATTGTAAGGCTGGTTTCATTTCCTTGTAAGGCTATCATTGTAAGGCTGGTTTCATGTCATTATAAGGCTATCATTGTAAGGCTTGTTTCATTTCATTATAAAGCTATCATTGTAAAGCTATCATACATTTCATAATCAGGAGTGAATAATAATAGATCTATTATTATTCACTACTTCATGGTATAATGATAGCGTGAGTTGAGCTGAGGAAGCTCATAAACGCGAGCATGCGAGATAATAATTATATAGCAGATATTTACTTCACAGTTCATTATTTCTCTATAATCTTTTCGTTCACGTACGTGACTTCAATACGAGTCTGTGAGAGCGACTGGCTGTAAATGTTGTAACTGTCTGTTTATTGCGCGCTTCCGCATGTCCAGCGGTCCAGCAGACGCCCCACGGGATAACTTCTATTCACCCCGAGGACGCAGCCACGAAGGCCAACTCAGGGGAGAGTTCGCACCACCAGTATCGCGGAGGTATACAGCTGGAGGAGAGACGTACCCACTAGAGGCTCGATACGGTGGCAGTGATGCGATGAGCCAGCAACGTGCGTCTCAGCTTGCAGCTCTCTTCTACAACAGATTCCGTCGACCAGGCTTCATCAAGACTACGCGGATCGTGCTGTTTCGACCGCAGAGAACGCGCGTCTATTAAGCATGACTGACAGATAACCTGTAGGCTGTGCTGTCATGCACGATGGGCTGGCGTGTGAAACACGCCAACCGCCGCCGGAAAATAATAATAATTTTATTATAATGACGAATTGTTAGTTTTGCACACATCTGCAATAACATCAGAAACGCACACACGCACGCGACGCACACACACACACACACGCGCGCACACACACACGCGCGCGCGCACACACCACCCCCACACACCCCCACAGACACACACACACACACACACACACACACACACACACACACACACACACACACACACACACACACACACACACCACGACACACACACACACACACACACACACACACACACACACACACGCACACTTACACACATATATATATCGAGAGAGATATAGGTACATACGATACGAGCGGTTTTTGTGTATTCTCAATTTGTTATAAAATATTTACAATTCATCACATAAAATGGTCTATTTAGTCTCTATGTTAAAATTTTCTGAAGTGTAATCGTTCTATATTCTCTATAGCAGTTGTACCGAGCACGTGCTCGCAAATTATTTACTATTTCACATTATTACGCTTAAACGTTTAAACGTAAAACAAACATCGATATTATACCTTTTGTATGTTACGTGTTAGATTCCTGCAGCTGCAAATCCGATGCTCTCAATCATAACGAATACTGTGTACGCTGTATATTTCGCGGTGGTTTAATTTTCGCGAGTTTCGCGAACGTGTCCCCGACCGCGAAAATACCGAATAATTCATAATTCACCGACCGCGAAATTAACCACTCGCGAAATTGTCCGTCAAGTCTGAATTCGCGAAAATATCTGTATGCGAAAAATATGACGTAAACAGTATTTCATTACACAAACTCAAGATGCGATACTCGTTGCGCTTTCTTGTGAAAACAAATTCCGTCATCATTCCCATTTAATATTTTACGTGTGTTAGCGCGTAGTGCGTACGTTCGTATGTGTGTGCATGCACGCATGCGCACATCACCATGTGTGCGTGCGTCTGTACGTGTACATTATTACATAACCTAATCACACAACGAATGTAGATTTATTTTCATAATACGAAGTTTAATATTTTCTACAATATTCTAATGATGTTACACGGTTCTATAGGTTGCCAGTGTATTAAACATAAGATATGTACAGAACTACAGCTGCAATGTATACATTAGAAATGAAATGGAACCTTTTCATCAGAATAATTTCTTCGTATTATACTATGAATTACTTAACCGTATAATATACATATAAATACATAATGAATAAAAAATGAAACACATTGCATTATAAATACTGACACAATCATTGTATCATTATATACTAAAAACTTCAATGTGGGTAATACAAATATCTACAAATGATTATATAAACTGAAACATATCATGGGCATATGAGTATTCAATTGTGTTCTCGAAAACACTCTATATATAGGTGAAAAGGGAATTAGGGCCGCTCTAACTACACAATCCGTGACTATAACACAATGCGCAGTAAATACCTTTCGAACAACAATTATGAAAACAGTTGCGCAAACGTTTTGGAGCGTGACCGCCAAGAAGACATTGTTGACCTGACCTGACTTCCCACCATACAATTCTTGTGCAACCAATTAATGGAAAACGAACATTATTACGAAATGTGACGGCTGTTTTTAAAGTTGAAAAAACAACAACTGGAAATTCAACAAATAACAAAAACTACTCGCATGTGTTTGACAATGCACGCATTTTAACTGGAGATGGCCGAATGAGAAAAATTCAGTACCCCTGTAAGCAGAGCCTCATGGAAGGATGGCTATTTGTTAGATAAATCGAGGGCTTTCAACTGCACAGATCGACCGCTGACACATTCTGCTTCTGAATTGCTTACCAAGAGATTCTTACTTGGGGAGCATCGCATAGCTGCATCACTCTGTGCTATCGAGACGAACTTTGGCCTCGGAATGTGCGCATATAAACCGTAGTCTTCGCTAGCTGGGCGAGTCATGTGGGGCTTACTGCCATCTTTCTGTGAGGTTGAACCAGGCTGGGTGGACACAACCTCTAGAGAGCTCTGCGAATTGTATTTTCTACCACTCGGTGACGCCACGGTCTGAGCGGATGCACCATTGCCGCCCGAGTTTTTACGAGATCCGTTCTGTTTCTCCGTCGGCGGCCTGTCGGGAAGATTTTGCGAATTCGTCAGATGTTCAGCGGAGGCGCTCCGAAGTTTGTTTATGTTCACGGGAAGCATCTTGATTCCGTCCGCGCAGCAGGCGAGAGTGTCCTGGACAGGTGGCGTTAGCATCTGTCCTCGCACAACGCTGTGTCGCGAGCCGTCGCTGCAGGCTTTCCCGACCGCGCCGTCAGCTGCGCCCTCTGGTGAACTCTGCCGCCTACCGTGACGCGACGTCGCCCGCTTCGTCGAAGCCTTTGTTTGATTCGTCTCGTCCGAGCGCAGCTTCCAGATTTCCTCGTTGCGTGTCGCCGGCGGGGGGAGCGTCGACGCGTGGCCGCGCTTTTTACCGATGCATCGATCGAACGTCAGCTTACGACTAGTCGGACGAGCGTCCGCCGATTTAGTTTCCGAATCGGTCGACACGGAGCGTTGGTAGTAGGTCTTCAGCAGGGTCGCTGTGCTGTATCGCTCGGCTAGTAAAGCCTGCACCGCTCTGTCTTTCGCTGCCCCGAAATATCTGACAAAGTCACCTGGCAAAGAGTGCGGGACACGCGCCGTGAGAACAACAAAACTCTGTAACGGCAAGCAATACGGTAAAAGCCTGCGTATAAAAACCTAGTGATTAAGCTCCTGTTAGGCTAAGGTTTTTTTCTTTTTTCACATTTTTTTCTTAAGAAAATAAGAACCTATTTAAGAACCTAAATAGCCTAATTCCCCAGTAAACACCAATTATATAAGAATCCTTTCAGGCTAACTTGGAACAATGCAGGTTCTTATACGCAGGTTTTTACTGTATGATCAATAATGCTAAAAAGCGATAGTTGCAATGAAGCAATCGTGGCATACCCAAATTTTTACCTCATTACAATACTATGAACTACTTCGCTCAATGATTCACGGTAACCTTCAATAGCGCGATGCCACGAATTTCAATGTGATTTCGTTAGCAGACTAGCAGTTCGTGCTAAATACCTTTCATTTTGATCAAGGTTTCCATGTAGAGTTTGTGAAGCTCTGCCACAGCAGCAGACGTAACATTTTCCACGTCCTATTGTATACCAAAACAAGTATTTTATCATAATTTCAATATTACAACGTAGTGACATGGAAACCAGTTTGAACATAAAACAATCACTCTTGCTTCAGTATCAGTAGCTATAGAAAATATGCTGCATGATACGGCTGCATTAACTCCAGAATTTATCAGCCTATCTATTCATTGTGATTCTTATTTCTCTTTTTGTGTCCGAGTATGTTGTATGACATATAATGTTGAGTGAAACAAAAAATAATCCTCTCTAGATTTAATCCTATCCTTCTCATCATGAACCTGTTTCAAACAGGAGACGTTACCTAGACTGGCCCCTACGTCGTTTAATACATAGAGGATTAGAATTAGAAACAGGATTAACCACAGAGTTAAACCCAGAGTTAAGTAAGCACAATATTCTGACAGGTTTTATGACTTCCCGGTGGATTAAACTAAATTATTATTTAATGGAGGTACAGCGTTGTGCGATGTATATGTAGTGAATGGTAGTTGTGACGGTTTTAGAATCATGGGTCGATATGATTAGAAAACGTAGGACAGATATTTATCTACCTTCTCCTCCTGCCATTCTAGGATCAATTCCAATTTATGATTCCTAGAGCAGTCACGTTTCTCGATCACCTCCTTCATAATCGACTTACTCGTTTGACACATACAGGATTTGCATTAATGCCAAAACAGTCTAGCAAAACCCTCTGCGTGCTCACAGTATGTGACACGACATTCATAACTAACATAACCAACATATATAACTAAAACTATTTTGTTTATATTATATTCTATAAACGCACATCATCACTTTTATTCATAAGATTTGCAATGACTGAACTTTAAATAAAGCCTTTCTAAAATAGACATAATAAATTTACTAATTACACATAAATGACCACTGATCTTGACACCCCCCCTCCCCCAGCAGCAACAAATGTTATGTTCTGCAGTTATGTACATGCAAAGTGACGCGTCGAGCTGGCGTAGCATGTTTGATGTAATGAGATAACAACCCCTTAGCGCTGTTACTATGATGAATAGGATTTACACACGTACCGTCTGCGTGGCAATGGTTCGGCCATCTTTCACCGCTAGACGCTCGATGAGACTCTGGTAGCACGCCCTTGTCTTCTCCAAGTCTTGCTCGTGCTGCTGCCTTAGGCTGCGCTGCATAGAACACAAGCACACGACTGTCAACACCACGTTATGTTATGTTATATGTTGATTAAGGCAGGATTAAGCGCAAAGTTAGGGCAAGAGTTAAAGTTGCTTAACCTCACAGCTAAGTGCATATATAGACCTACTGTGAGCTCGTCTATGTTGCAAAAATTCACTAGAACTCATTTGTATTGCTACTTTCATGACATTTCTTCTCAAAATCTAAACGAAATTACTTCTCTCACGAAAGTAGCACCACAGTGACGTTTACACATCCGGGACACAGCGGAGCGATCGTTAACAGTTTTTTTCTATGATAAAACAAGTTATAATTCATTATTATATGTTTATTCAGTACAAAATTGTGAAATTCGTTTAAATCATATCGTTATCTATATTACTTATGCAATCAGGAAACAAATATAGTGTTTTCGTTCCAGGAACTATTTGCGCTAGCGTAGAGCTACTGCTAGCTGTGTGAAATAACAACATCGACGTAATTTTGAAAATCCAAATGTTTGTAGCACTTCTCTGGCTCAATGAGAACATTTCGTGATGTTTGCACACTGCAAGTATGCTCACAATGCACACAGTAGGTCTATGTGGGCTTTTTGTTGCGAGGTTTATCCGTTTTAAGTAAGCACAATATTCTGACAGGTTTTATGACTTCACGGTGGTTCAAAGCAAATTATAATTCCATGGAGGTACAGTGATGTGCTGTGTATATGCAGTGGATGGTAGTTGGGAAGGTTTTTAGAACCATGCATTTACGTGATTAGAACACGTAGGCCAGATATTTATCTACCTTCTCCTCCTGCCATTCTAGGATCAGTGCCGATTTTGTGTTTTCTAAAGCAGAGTCACGTTTCTGGATCGCCTCCTTCAGAATGGCCTTATATTGAAGGCTCAGTCTTCTCTCTACCTCCCGCAGCATTTTCTTACTCACGGCTGGATCCTCCCTAGCATCACATCACAGAACACATGATTTTCAATGCAACATTTGATCATCAATCACTATGTGCTAAGTAACTGTACATGCAAGTTACATACGTACAATAACATACATACATATACGTAAATAATTGCACACATCATACAATTATATACATCAATGACACAAACGGAAAAATTATGTATATTTTGGAATACACATTTACACGTGTTTCCATGTTGAACTATATATGGCATCAGAATGATAGACATTGGATTACATCAGAATTAGGATTCAAGCTAACTATGATTTGAATATTTTCAACTATATATATTGATAACCCTTTATTGTATAATATTTTTTTCATCTCTGTGGGTTATATAATACTAGATTGAATGAAATTTTACTTGTACATAAGAGAACAACGACACTACAAGAAAAAAACCTTGCATCGATCCATCTACAAATTCTTATTATGACCTATTCTCACTGACCATATGTTTTACATAATTGCATAAATGACGTAATTTTTACGTAACTAACCTTTCGAGCAGCATATCGGCAGTTGCCTGGGTCGAATTCTTTTGCAGTGTCGTGATCTCCTCTTCCAGTTCCTCTCTTAGCGCTTGCTTCTGCTGCTCAAACTCAGCCTGCAGTTTTAGCTTCTCTTGTGCCTGCTCCTTTTCATGCGTCTGCCGCTGTTCCTGCTCTTCTCTACTTCGTCGCTCCTCCCACTCTGCATTGCTCTTTGTCAGCTTTTCCTGTAATCGCTGGCAGGTCTGCTGCAATTCTGCACTACTTTCGCCGAGATCTTTCACTTGCAGAAGCTGTTCTTGCATTTTCTGCTCTTTTTCTTCGACCTAATCAAACCGCATGCAAGTGGAATTCAACCGCAATTTAATTCTACTCAACGCGATATGGTTCGCAAATGATTTTCTGTGCACAATATAATTTTGATATATGTTATTAATTCATAATATATTTTTAATTTAATTTAATTTTTAAGGTTCAAATACATAACATGTCATATTGAACGCGAGAGTTTATAAACCAGCACCTGCTGTAACAGCGTTGACCGTTCGGCCCGCCATGCCTCCTTCAGCGTACAGATTTCCGTCTGCTTCTCCTTACACTTCGTGTCTAGTAGAGCTTCGCGTTCTTCCTGCCACAGCTTTGTCTGCTTGTCCAGATCCAGCTGAAACTCTGTGCACTTGTCATGCGTGCTGTCCAACTCCTTCACGCCAAACAAGGTATTATGCAAGGATTAGATCACACGTAAAAACAGCAACGAGATTTTATAGTTAGAGAAGATCAAATTTTTCAGTATCGATAAGCATGTGGACCTTTCACCCATTTCAGCTAAGCTTTCTGTATTTTTTCGAAGTCAACACGATACTTTACGTACCCACCTACTGAAATGGCAGCACATAGATTATAATATTTTATTAACAAGCAAACCACAAGTAGAGTAATAAACCACTCATTATTCTCAACAATTTCCTAGTAAAGACAAGTTGCTGCTGTATTGCGCATACGTCTTGCAAAGCTTTTATTTGATTGGTGTACTGTTCCTGCATCTGCTTGCTGGTGGTGCCCTCTGGAGTCGTGTCTGACTTGCTCGTGGTTTCTTTCTCAGTTTCGCTATCACCGGTTCTTTGTTCGTCTTCTTTGGTCATCGTTCCATCTTTGGTCACGTCTTCATCTTTGGTCACATCTATGCTACGATGTTTCTGCAGAAGAATTATCACTGCCTATCACCAACAGCTCATCCAGAAGCTACGAGTATAGTGCTGCAATCTAAAATAATGCTAAACTATGCAACAGATGGGATGAGATATAGTTTCTCATAGTTAATTCGTTCACGAATATTTCAACAAGTGTAATCATTGATATTATAATTATTATTATCAATGTGCAAAATAATGATTTCGCCCCACGAGGTATGAGGTATAGTTTACGATACTTATACTTGTGAAAGTCAGTCGTGTAGAGTATACCACATACAGTATTAGACAGAAGTACACTGATCGTATATAGTATATCATATAGTATCGAGGTTTATACCTGCGTGAGTTGGTCAAAATGCCGTTGGAGCTTCTCTTTCTCCTCGCACACTTCCACATAGCACTTCTTCACATCCGTTACGTTCGCTTCTAGCGACTTGAGATCCGAGCTGCGAAGCAAGCAGTTGTAATTAGTGTCACCAGGGTCCTCGAGTACTGCATACGCTGTATATTTCGCGGTGGTTTCAATTTCGTGAATTTCGCGAAAGCGTCCTCGACCGCGAAAATAACAACACGCGAATAGTTCATACCGAATAATTAATAATTCACCGACCGCAAAATTAACTACCTGCGAAATTGTCCGTCAAGTCTGAATTCACGAAAATATCTGTATGCGAAAAAATTGGCATATACAGTATCAAGAGCATATAAAGAAGGAGAGCGTACAACGGTAAAATGCTGAAACCATGCTGCAGTATTAGTCGAATTAATAAACTTTCCCCGTTTTATTTTGACGATCCTTTGCAGTATTATTGATCAGCTGTCCTACCTTGTTCATATAAAACAAACCGAATGTCCCTACGATGCCCCTATGCTGAGATAATGAGCGGTGAAAATCTGGTATTTTCGCCGAACACCGATTAGACATTAGTCAGTTACTGTGACCGTCTCTCGAAGTGTTATAACTTCGGTAAACCTCGCGTGTTTCCGTCAATGATTGACAAATGGAATGAATGACGTCTGTTATTGATTGCCATAGTGATGACCCCCACCTGTGCCCACCTCACGCCCACCTCACGTTGGATGTATAGTAAACTCTGGTAGTATGACGTGAGTCAGCGCCACTATGGCGCAACACAGCGGCGAACGAAAGCAACACACTGGCCACAGTGTGGGCCGTACACTCCGCCCACACGAGAGACGGTCACAGTAACTGACTAATCTAGTCGGTGTTCGGCGAAAGTACCAGATTTTCACCGCTCATTATCTCAGCGTAGGGGCATCATAGGGACATGCGGTTTGTTTTATATGAACAAGGTAGGACAGCTGATCAATAATACTGCAAAGAATCGTCAAAATAAAACGGGGAAAGTTTATTAATTCGACTAATACTGCAACATGGTTTCAGCATTTTACCGTTGTATGCTCTCCTTCTTTATATGCTCTTGACAGTATGCAAATGTGCATGTGTGCACTCATGCTCTCACATAGCATAGTCCATTTCAACCCAACCCTTGCTAAAATTGAAAGTTCCTGTGTTGCACGTGGAGCACAGTCCATTTCAAACCAACACTTGCTGAAATTTATAGTTCTGTATTCCACATGGTCAACCATGCCTACCAAAACCGGGTCTTATGTGTACTAAACCGCCGTCTTCAATGTTCCCCACATACCTCAAGGCCTCTATTTGTTGGTCACGATCCTTGATGAGCTGCTGTATCTCTGTGCTGAACCGACTTGTCAGTTCCTCTTCCAGTTTCCTTTTGGTTTCATCATGAACTAGTTGAAGTGCTTTTCTTGCCCTGTGGTATGTCAAGCAAATAAATCAGCATAAAAAATCCAGATTTTCTAATACATTATAAATAAAAACAACATAATAATAGTATAATATGATTTTATTCGAGCAACGGCGGGGTTGTGTATGACTATTACTGTGATAATGTGAGGTAAAGCAATGCGAACACATTCCAAATCTCAATATGTGCAGCACAGGTGACAGACCCATGGGAATGACATTTGAGTGCAGAGATGCAATAACGTTTCGAATGTTGTCATTTTTTAAAATTTGATTCGTCAAGAGTGGACACAGCAGTAGCAGTACGAGACATTGTAGATTCCACATGTGAAAAATATCCTGCCAGCTAGCTAGTGCGTCTACAAACTAGCACAAGAACTAGCATAGGAATTAGCATAGGAATTAGCATGGGAATTAGCATAGGAACTAGCATAGGAACTAGCATACGAACTAGCAGGCAGGCAGCATTATCATCATACCTAGACCAAGCATGCAGAAATAGTGTGGCATCGGGCCGCTAGATGGCGTACCTGTCGACGGCCGCGTTCACGTCTATGTCACGCTCGTCGATCAAGTAGGACAGCTGTCGGTTGACGTCAGCGTTGACAGCTTTCATCTTGTCCTCAGTGTCACACAGCTCTTCCACTCTCGCCTGCGCTGCCTGGTGATATTACACGAACAGATATAAGCGAACATGTAAGAGATATACAAGCACATACTACCAACACATGCATACCATAACCTGCTTGATCACACGTGTAAGACAGCCATTGCCACCACCATAATCATCGCCGCAGCTGCAGCTGCCACCACCACTGTTATAACCACCAATAAGTGATATCGGAAAGTCCAGCTTTGTTATTTAGGTAATAGAAAAAGGGGGTATAAAATGGCCGAGGCGCGCGTAGGAAAGTACATTGCGTTTTTAGTTTTTGCATTAACACAAACATTGCAAAATATCCCAAATGACCACAATCATATTTGTAAATGTTTCTGTAAACAAAAACGCAGCTGTGAATTGAAGTACGATGTTAGTGAAGAGAATTATAGATCAAAAACCTAGACGAGTACTATCGTAACTATGTTATATATAGGCAATTTATCACCCCTCTTATATGATCTCAATATGGCTTATACCACCACCACTGCCACTACTGCACCCATCACTACTACAACTGCCAGCACCACCACCACCAGCATGGACTCGACGTAATGTGGAATAACACAGTGACTGCACAATGGTCCTGGACACTGCCTAGAAGACCTGCCATCTCATGATATATTACAGAAAAGGAAATACCTGATAGGAAGCAGCCATAATCGTGTGGGAAGCATGAAAATGAATCAATTTCATTATTACACATCGCGTTTCTACCACATACTTTTAATTTATCAACAAGCTCTTCTCCATGTTCCTTCAACTGGGCCACTTCTTTTCTCAGCGCTCTCTCTGCCTTGGTGCCTCGGTCAAGTCTCATGTCATCCAACTCATCTCGAAGTGTTTTATTCTCATCCTACCAAGGAAACATTAATAATTAAGTCACCGATATAACCGTATTGTGAAAATTCCCTTATTTTATGCAAAGTTAAATAAACGAGTACTGTACAAAATTGTGAAATTTGTTTAAATCATATGTTATCTACATTACTTAATCAGCAAACAAACAGTGTTTTCCTTCCAGGAACTATTTGCGCTAGTGTAGGCTTACTGTTAGCGTTCTCGGTCGCTTCGCTTTACACAATTTATGTGTATCCATACGCTAAATTTTCTCCAAGAAAGTTTTCAAAATGCTCTACTTCGGAGCACATTTCTGGCTTAATGAGAACATTTCGTGATGTTTTCATACTGCAAGTATGCTCAGTGTAGGTGTATTTATGCATTTTGTTGCAAGAACTCGCATCTTCAAATGTGCTTACGCACATAAATTATGCGTATTATTAACCTTGGCTTCGCTTATTTTGCTATCGGAGGCCTTCGCGTTGGTGAGGGCTTCCTGAAGTTGCTGCTTGCACGCCCTCAGCTCGTGGCGTAGCTGTGACAGCTGGGTTCGATTGCCACCACTGACCGTGATCGATCGCTCCAGCTGCTGCCGCAACTCACTCACCAACTGACCGTCAGAGGTATCGGTCCTGCTGCCGTTTCCCTCTCTGCGAATATACGTACAATCACAACAACTTCATAGTTCAATAAATGAATAAGTTTATTTTAACCAAACAAGAATTATATTCTTGTTTGGTTAACAATAACTTATTAATTTATTGTATTATAACAAACAGATGGACTTAATCAACAACTTCACAGTTCTGCTAAATAAGCTACTACCTAAACATTTCATTTTCTCAGACATCTGAACGGGATCGTTCCAGCAGGAATACCTTTCGTACATTTCTCGTGCCATTAAACACACATTCGACAAAAACATCACGGAGAACACAACAGCAGAGTTGGTAATTACCTAGCAGCATGTGGTGTGGTGTAGTCCAGTGTTTTCTTCACACTGTCCGGCATGTTCCTGCCCTTGGGATACACACCCAACTTTGCGGCCGACTCGTATACATTTACCTGTGATTTTAGTTCCTGCACTTCTGCCTGGGGATACATAAACACATTGTGTACACAGCAAACACAACACAGAGTGATTACATCTTAGTTATTTATTAGAGCAACAAATGACGAAAAGGTGAAGCATAGGATCGTAGTACTTATATAACAAGACTAATTAATTTGGGGTAAAGCTTTGATCTTCATTATCAGCATGAACGTTTACAACCCATCTACCTTGGAATATTATAAAGTAGCCCAGCAAAAAGGTCTGCAATAGATATCTGAATAATGATTTCATACAGTGCTTGTAATTTTCTGCATTTCACACTGTTTCAGTAGTGAGAAGTGAGAAATACTGTGAATACTGTTTCCTAATACAGTAGAAGTCCAAATATCCGGACTGCTCGGGGATTGGGTCGGTCTGGATTTTGCGGATTTTCCAGATTCTCGGGCAGTACTTGTAAAATTGAAATTTAAGGAGGAAAAAGAAGAGACGAACAGGTAAATTTTGATGGTTTATTCATTAGCAAATACAGCATGCTTCATTCATCAAAACAAGCATTTTTAAAGAAATATAAAGTCAACACTTCATAAAAATGTAATGCTTGAAGTAATGTTTAAAAATGAACGGAAAATGTTTTCGAAAAGTCCGCGTTCTCAGGTGGTCCGGATTTCTGGCAGCCGGATTTTTGGACTTCTATTGTAGATGGAGGATTGAGGATGGCGAGAGCGCGATGGAGCATGGGTGGGGTATACCTGCACGGCAGATAGAGCCTCCTCGGCAACATCCTTAGCACTGAGTGTTTGCTGCAACTGCTGCTTCACTCTAGTCACCTCATGCACATCACCTACCCCCCCAACAAATAATATATTTAGTGCTCATAGACATGATATATATATATATATATATATATATATATATATATATATATATAATAGTATAAGCATGTGCAAAAATCTGTGTTGCCCACTTCTGATTACAATGTGATAAACCTTCTCCATCGATTGTACTTATAACATTTAGAAACAGTGCTAAGGCCTAAGCACACGATAAAGGGACGAGAAATTTAAAACTTTATCAAAGAACCCACAGGGAGGAGACACAGAATAAAATTTACACATAAAAGCTTTCATGACGTTATGCAATAAAACATTAGAGTTAAGACATTCTTACTGTTGTCCAGCAGTTCCTTGTACTGTCTCTGACTCTCCTCCAAGCTCCGATGCAGACGATTGATGGTCTCAGCCTTATCTAGCTGTGCCTGATCCAAAGCCTTGCTCGTCTCACCCAACTGCCCTTTAAGTCTGTCAGTCTCTTCATCCTGTCAGAATGCAGTAATTTGAAGTGGTATAGCTTCAGTGCAGTTATATAGCAGTTCTAAGATGCCTAGTGGTGCAAAGGCTACTAGCCCTCAGCTATCTCATACTCAGCTAGCTCCCGCTCTGCTATCTCATCCTCAGCTATCTCACCCTCAGCTATCTCACCCTCAGCTGCAGCTGTTGGTAGAGCAGGTCTAGTTTCTCGCGGACGTCTAGCATGTCACGCTCGTGTCGCCGTGTGACGGTGTCCATCAGCTGGTCGTGCTGCTGCCGCGCGCGCGCCACGCTCTCCGACTGACTCAGTTCCTCCAGCTGTAGTTCCAGACTGTCGACGGTGTTCTCTGTGATCTGTAGTTTTTCCAGCAGCTGCAACAACACACAGACACATGCTCCGTCAGCTGCAGCACAGTATCAAAGGGGGCCTTGGTTCCTACACAGACAGACGTTCTATGCACATTCGTATACACATCAGACGTTTTACAGTCGAATTACAACAGACCAGATTATTTTTACGGGTTCTCGGTCAGTTGCAAGTAGTGTCACATAAAAGGTAAATTCTGCAATCAAGTGTTTTGGGTAGGATTACCATAAGTAATTAGCATATATAGCTATTGACCTATTTGTGCTTGCTGATTCGCACACTGATGGGAAGAAACTATACCTCCTGTTTAAGAGATTGAAAGTTCTGCAGTTCTGATTCCAGAGCAGCAATGTGTCCATGCTGCTTGTTAGACTCATCTCCTGCCCCCTGCAGCAGCTGCTGGGTGTTTCGCAAACTCTCTGCCATTCCCTCTCGCTCATCTGATATAATCGATGCATTAACAACGTGGGTTATTAAATATTTTTTTGTTTATTAAAAAAAATTTTTTTTTACGGTTTATTAAATTGTATACTGCAGGAAGCTTAGTTTAGAATAGCTCCTAAATTTTAAATAACTACGTGCAGAAACAATAAATACTTTAAGCAATGAATTGAATACAAAATGCATATAGCAACGTAATATTCCTTTGCCAATTGCCCCTACATGATTTGTTCTGTGTGATGTACTGGTATGTTAGCAGACCAACAGAGGAAAATGTGACTCGGAATATCTGTGCAATAACATCAGGAAATTTAATAAGCAATAGCAAAGCAAGCCAAATCAATGCGCACCAAGGCAACGCAAGGCAAGCCAAGGAAAGGCAAAACGAGGAAGAGAAAAAGTACTCTTTGGAAATAACCGTTTTGCACGCCTCTACGTCATCACGCCAAACCATGTGAAAGATGACGACGAATCAGTCTGCGACACCGGGAAGATATGTCACCATAAACAAACGTGGCGAACTCTTTTGCAACTGGATTTTCTGTGGGGCTGCAGAAGTGCGATGTTGACGCCATACGACGCTACTACTACTAGTCTGGGATGTGGATTCGAGGATAATCTCGGATTCACCTTCGGCCATCGTGAGCTTGTGTCTCAGCAGGCGGACTTCTCGCGCGGACTCCTCCTGCAGACTCTCATACTGTCTCGTCAGCTCATCGATGCGTCTGCCACGAGCGCCATACAGAATTCTCAGCTGTGCAACTTCGCTCCCATCGCCACCGCCACCTAGCAAGCCAGATGAGAGGTCAGCTAATGCGTAAACATACCTTCATTTGATCCGTATTGACAAAGCAATGTTCGTTTAGTTCTGTAAACTATACAGCCACCTGCTCGTTAGGTAGCACACCTAATACACATTCACAGTGTATGCAGAGAAAGCAAGATATGCTCAGTGGTCGGTTTCCCACACAACTGTACTGATTTTAATTATTAAATTAAACACCAGCTATTTATATTTTTATAAATTATGAACGAATGCAATGTCCCATCATGTTTCTGTTTCCTGTGGATTGACTAATCTGGCAGCTTCAGCTACAACTTACAGTTCAACTCACCTGCATCCAAAAACTGCTGCTGCACAGGTTCAACGCGGTGCGCGTGTTCGTCTGCGTACGCTGGCAAGCGCTGATACGTAACCCTGTACTGTTCGCTGTGTATGTGCTGGCCTGTGTCCGCATGGCCAACTCCCTCCTGAGATTCTGGCTTACTCCACTGGTGGTCTCCAGTACGAGAATAAGGTGAGTGTTCCTCGGTTTTCTGATAGACGTACGGCTGGTCCGCCTGCGGCACGTCTTCCGCACTAGCATATGAGATAGACGGCTGAGGCGAGCTCTGCTCGGTGGTAACGCGGAACAGGTCGTCCGGAGAGCGTGAGATGTCGGTGCGATCGGAACCGGTGTGAGACTGAAAGTCGGCACTCACGCCGCCGTTCCTCTCATCGTGGCTGTCTGGAAAAGTGCAGATATATATTATATATATATATATTTATATATATATATTTTATAATAAAATTTATTTCCAAAAGTACATATATATTGTATAATTCATTTTACACAATGTCAGTAAAGGTAACAAGGATCGCTGATGGTAAAAAAGTGAGGCTAAAGATACAGACAGATATAGAAAACAGTTTTGCGATGCAATATAGCTTATACTACTAACCTAGTAACGTATGCTGGTGTAAGAGAGAAACATCACCGGAAATGCTTAGCATATTATCAGGAGTGTATCAATACTGATCATCAATACTGTATACATCATCTGATCATCAATACTGTATCAATATTGATACACTCCTGATATTATTGATACCAGATTATATTATTTTAATGAGCGAAGAAGCTGCACATGGCAAGTACGTTTTTTTTCTACACGGTATCATCACATTATATTAGCTTCGTTAGTTACATTTAGCTATTTGGTGGTTCTCTCTTATGAAAGTGCCTCATGAATGTTAATCATTATGCCCATCTTGAACTGTCACCACCTTGACTTTTTATGTAGCTAGACCGGTTACTGAGGAAAATTCTTACAGGTCATTGAAATGTTTATAATACATATACTGCAGAAATTAAGACTCATTACCACCCACCATAGTAGCTGCCATGTTCACTTATATATTGTTCCGACGGTGACTGAATTAGGTTTCTTTCTTCTGTATGGCTCGGCCGATCAAATTCCTCTTCCCACCTGCTAGCAAAAATTATATTGAATTGATATATTATATAATAATTGCATGTCAGACCATGTCATGTGTAAGTGATTTACAGAGATAGCAAGGCCACTTTACCGATTCACATCTTGCTGACTGATACGGCTTAATCCAACTGCAGAGGCACTTGCTACCTCTTCGTCCTCCTCTTCAATCAGGTCATCAAAAGCATTTGCGAGAAGTTCCTGCAGCTTTAATTTAAAAGAATGATTATAATGACAGTATAGACTACATTTAATTGTAAATTTTCAAAATGGCAAAAAAGTGATTAGATGGGTACTTGGCCTATATTTCCTAATTAATTCAAAACAAGCCTACTTAAATTATACTTCTTCAAACACACCAATATATTGATAAGAATTTTTAGCATCAATCTGCAATCATTAAAATTGAAACACTGCTGTAAAGTATGATGCATATTCTCTTAATTTGTCATAAATAGCTAAAGAGTAACGTTGAATAATATATGGCTATTTGTTTTGCAAACTGTCTTCATTTCATTTTTTATGAACGCTAAGCATATACCCTAATTCTGTGCATGAAGACAAGTACATAAGCTGATATGCGTTTGGAATATTCCTCAAATTAGAATCCTTCTAACAAACCACAATTACCTCTCGTTCCTTGCCCAGCTGTTCATGCTCAGCCTCCTCCTCCTCTTCAACCTTACCAGGTTTCACTTGCTCAACATCAAACAGACTGGCTCCAGGATTCACGAGGCTTACACCAGGCGTCAAAACACCACTATGATTTGTGTGCGCCGACATTTATGTTCTTCATATCAATAAACAACAATCAATGGTATTTGTCAATACTCAATAGACTTAATTAGTACTAGTACTAGTAGTACTAGTAGTAGTAGTAGTGATAGTACGCTAATCGGCACATAAAGCACCGGCACTTGGGCCGTTTCAATAATAAAATGATGGTTAATAAATACAACTTGTCAGGACTAGACCTACCAGTACCAGTATTAACAATAATAGTTTGATTTGACCTAATAACTTCACTTCAATACAGTCCAATACACCGCTGCAACACACATTCCTATAGCGCGCACGCCATTGTGCACAAATACACAGTAATATAGAGTACTATAGAGTATATAGAGTAATATAGAGTAATATAGAGTACTAGAGTAGTAGTAAAAACACACTCTATATTAGCCTACTGTGTATTTGTGCACAATGGTGTGCGCGCTATAGGAATGTGTGTTGCAGCGGTGTATTGGACGGTATTGAAGTGAAGTTATTACTAAATATTAGGTCAAATCAAACTATTATTATTAATACTGGTACTGGTAGGTCTAGTACTGACAAGTTGTATTTATTATACATCATTTTATTATTGAATTTGAAACGGCCCAAGTGCCTGTGAGTCGTGACATATGAAGCTCTACAAATTAGTACAATTGATAAACAACAATCAAATAGTATCGCCGCTATCGGCACATGCAATACTGGTAAACGGTCTATCGTAAATTGTGTATAATAGTAAAATGCTGGAGCATCACCTATATTATGATATCTACTATTGCTATCGCTTTTCGGTTATCACGTACACTGATACTGATAGTGATCTACAGACTACAGTCTACAGCAAGGAGTAGACCTACAGACTTCGCGCAACACAGACTCGGTAACAACCGATCAATAATTTTTACTGCACCTTAAAGCAACGTCTACGTATTCATGTGAAGGTTTCCTTGTCAAACGTCGAGGTATAGTTGCGTAAACCGTTGAGCAGTAACGTCATAAACATAACATAATGAATATTTTTAATGTAATTGGTTGTTTCGTGCCAAAAGTTTTAAAATTTCTCACCTAGTAAAGGAAAAATAAACAGGAAACTAGTAGTGCCCCCTGGTGCATGAAATCTTAAACGAAAAACTGTACGAGGAAGACTACTCTACTTGCAATCTATTCATTTCACTCTGTTTAGGGGACTTGATTCACTGACACCGGCACATTCTTATGGACTTTGAAGATGAATCTTTGAGGTTGTGGGAAAAGAAATATATAAATATAATTAAGCCATCCCGATTCTTATAAATTTTTCCTTTCTTCGACTATTATTTCTTTGTAGTACGGTACATTTAATTTCAAATGTAAATTTATGCACAATTAGTTTATCATTATATACATGAATACGTCATTTAGAAAAATTATGTGAGTTGTTGGGGGGCGGGAGTTTTGTGTATTGGAACTATTTATATTTGTGAACTTTGAAATGCATGTGCCCTGTTTTCTCCATACATATAAATTTCAGTGAACATAGACTGGCTAAATATTATGCTGGCAGATATTTGCAAAACTTCAGTGTTCACAAGCATGTAGATCACTAGTGGTGACTAGTTTGCCAAGTCATCATCATGGCATATGTTGTATTAAACAAGTGCCGCAGAGCGACAGCGCTCAACTGACGTATACTGTAGCCAGGTATTCTTCTGATAAACTCACTGGCAACCGAATCAAGTGCGCCCTCCTGTCACCGCATTCGCGCTTAGAGCATATATCTAGGATACTACTAATACAGATCTAAAATCTATGATAGGCTATACCTACTGGTAGTACAGTAGTAGTAAAGATACAGCTGTGTAACTTTAATGACTTTCATGGATATTAACATGTTATCAAGGATATGCGTCGAGCTGCGAGCGTAGGGTGGTGGTGGGCGGAGGGTGGGGGAAGGAAGGAGGGGGGTGGGGAGAGGGTGGGGCGAAGGGGGCGCGCGGGGAGGGCGGGTGTGGGGAGTTGAGGGGTGGGCGGAGGGGGCTCTAATAGCAAAGCAATTCAGTGCGTTGTTAAACAGTCAACAAATCCATGTTTACCGCCTCTGCAGGGTCAACAAGGTTATCGACACTTACTCTTCGCATGTCAGCGGAAAGTACATTTCATGCGTCCTTTTAATTAAAGCCATAAAATGGTAGGTCACCGCTGAAACAAAAAAGTTTTGTCAATCGCTCCGTCAGCGACCATGTCCTCAGAAAATGTATAAAATCTGCCCTGTGCCCCTATCTGACCTTTAGACCTGTGACCATTTCGGCACAGCTGATGGCTTTTCCTACCATTGATGCTATACACCGACTATCACGAGCCTATGATCGCAGC